TCAGGAATTTTCAACTTTTCGAGCCTTTTCACTATCTCTTGTATATTGGGACGTTTTATTGGGTCATCTTGCCAACAATCTAATAATATATTAAAGTTAGGCATATCAAAAATAAAGTTTCGGATGATGATGAAATTCGGATGATTGTGAGATAAAAAATCCTATTAGCTAAATCATTTTAAACAATCAGATTATTCAATATCACCGTCATTTGAATCTCAACCATCATCCGTTACAGATAATATTCGCATAATCATATTGGTCATCTGTTAGGAAAATCACTGTTTAGCACTTGCCTTCAAATAGCGATTTTCCTGGCAGATGACAATATACAGTTCACATTTGCTATAGTGAATTGATCGTGCTGGGATATTTCGTCCATTATAATCATTATAATAAATACCCGTTATATCACTATAATGAAAGTTTTAAATTGTTGTAGAGAACCACCCGCCATAACGGGGGATCCATTACAACGATGGAGAACTGTACTGTGCTTTATATCGTATAGTATCCGTACATACCAGCATATAAAGCAATGTAAGCTGTTTGAGCTTTTTCTATAAAGTCTACGCTGGCATCATTTAACATATCTATAGTTAATTCCGAAAGTTGGCATATTTCTTTTGTAGGCTTAAATGGAGGACGACTTTTAGATATTTCCCACATAAGTACGCCTAAACTATAAACATCAGACTCTTTTGTTACTCTATACGATTCTTCAGTTTGAAAGCAGGGCATATTTGGCCCAAAGTCTAAAATTTTTATATTATTCCCGTAAACGAAAATATTATTAGAATGCTGTGAATATTGATAAAAAAATAATTAGTTATTATTGCAAAAAAAAAAGAAAAAAGAAAAAAAGAAAAAGAAAAAAATAACGAAATAATCAATAAATTAGTATGCAATTACAAGATTCCCATGTATAATTTCATTTTCATGCATAAACTCAATTGCATCTGCAAGCTGTTGTGCAAGATCTAATTTACGTGTCCAATTAAGCTTATCAAAATTACTTTGTAAGTAGGTTTTAAATATTCCACCATCAGGATATTTGAGGATTAAAATACATCGAGGCCCATAGTTATCTACAAAAAAAAAATTGGTTTAGAGCACTAAAAAAGGAATCGACACTAGCAAGCTGAAAAACTCAATATAAAACACAGGATTGGTCCTTTGTTTAATAATATCTGATATAACATTGCTTTAAGATTGGCACCAAATTTCGATTCGATCTTTATATTCAAAAGTCGTGACATTCAACTTGCAAATCTATTAACAAATGATTATAGGACTCTAAAATTGCGCTCACCTTCTTTCATAGAAATGTTATAAAAGCTAATAATATTATTTTGTTGCGACTTCAATTAAATTCGAACAAAATTAGAACGATGGTAATTTAATAATTTTTTCATAAAAAATAATATTAAAATCTACCTCGCGTACAATTTCTTTAATAGTAGTTACATTATTATTTTTATACGATTTTGAAGAATCGTCTGAATTAAAACGCTTTGTAACTACGTGAAAATTTTTTTTAAAAGTTTCAAGACCAGTAAATTGAGTACAGGTGAATGTTGAGTATCGTTTGGCGCATTTGTTATTAAAATTTCTTTCTACTCTCTCGGAAAATAAGCTCTTTTGTACACAAGATGAAGTTTTGTTAAAGCTTGGCATTTTGGCAAAATCAGTAATTTAAATTCAAAGTGGAGATATGAACTGAGGCTTTGCACTCTGGATATAAATTTAATTTGTTTCTTCGTTACACTTATGTAATTTTGTATTACTTAAATTTTTGTGTTTTGTAAGTGTTTTATTATTTATAGTGTAGATTTGCGGCGAATATTTCTATTTTCTTATTAAGTAATATATGTTACACTGGAATCAGAATGTTGGCAAGATGACCCAATAAAACGTCCCAATATACAAGAGATAGTGAAAAGGCTCGAAAAGTTGAAAATTCCTGA